CAGGCTCTACGATGTGAGTGTGAGATTACGTGGCTGCCCTTCTCAGTCACTGACAGTGGCTGATTTCTTGCTGCCTAGGCTGCAGCTCTTTGGCTACATCGTGCTACCTCCCAGGTCCTCAAACGACGTTAGTCAAGTGGGAGCCCCATGTCTCCAGCTCCTTCGGACCTTCTAGGGCCACGTGACTCTCACACCCCCCACCGCTTGAATCGTGGCAAGAAAGACTCTCACACTCACCCTGCCTTCTCCTGCTTCAGCCTCAGTCCTGGGCTGGAGGAGGAACATTTTAGCTCTGGAGAGGTTAAACTGTTTCCCCAGATTCCCGGCAAGCCCGGACTGGCCTGTGATGGCCCTGCTAATCTGTGCTATTACTGCAGGTAAGAATTATAATCAGAAAGCGCTCGAGGGGCCCAGGTCCACGTGGGAGAAGGAGAAGAGCTGTTGATTATATTGCAGAGCTTAATTGGTATAATTGCTCTCTTACTCCTGCCAACCCTGAGTTAGGATGGCTCTCCCACTTGCCAAGGGAGCTAAGAAAGGTTTGGGTTCCCAAATGGCGGATGCTGTTGGCTGTTGGGGCTCCTTTGGCCCCCTCTACCTCTAGATGGCAGAGGAGCAGAGAGCACACCTACCTCAAAAGACTGGGAAGTCCAGGGAGCCGGAAGCCTGGCTCAGGGGGACTGGGATTTCTTTAGTGAGCGTTCCATCCTTCCAGAAGCCAGGTGGGGGAAGCAGGTGAGAGTTTTCTGTAGCCAAGGTGCTGAACCCTAGGAGTCCCCAAGACTCAGAGGATCCTGGAGAGCAAGAGGCGGTGTCCAAGAAGAGGGGAGGAAGCAGAAGTCAGTATTGCTCCTTCCCTCCTCCTCTGCATCCTCCATTCTGCCCTGGGTTTCTTGGGATCCACCTCTATGGAGGTGTTCTGTCCTCACCACCAAAACCACCAGGACCTGCAATGACTGGGTGCCCAGTTCCTCCCCGAGGTCCCTGACCCCAGACCAATACTCTTATCTTTTGTGGGACTGACCTGTGAATGTGCAATGCACAAGCTTCTTCACAAGGAAGAAGCAACTTTCCAGTACCTCGTGAGCTCACAGAATAAAAGGTTGCTTCCCCTTGGCCTGCCCTGTCCCATTTTCTGTCTGCCTTCTGGCTCTCTCCCACTGTACTTCCACAGAGCCATCTGCTTGCTTTGGCTCAGCCTCTGCCCTGTTTCCCAGGCCTCCGGGAGCCGATTTTCATTCCCTTGATGCAACTCAGCTCCAGCCTCGCACACTGGGGAAGCACATGTTTTTTGGTGTCAGAGAACCTGGTTCGAATCTCAGCTCTTTGGTTCATTCTTTTTGTGACCCTGGGCAGCTTCACTTGCTATGTAAAATGGGGCTAATCAGAGATAATGCATGGTGTTGTGAGGACACAGGTCACCTTCTTGTATCTGGCACTATATCTATCTGTCATGTGACACCTGCTTGATAAATGGAAATGACGACTATCACTGGAGTCACCATAGAGTTGTCACCATAGAGTTTCTGCTGGTCCAGGGCTTCAGGGAAGGCAGCATCACCCTCCTTGCAGAGTCAAGCTCCACGGTTCTGTGAATTTACCCACTACCTAGGCAACTGTAGAGGACGGTGCACAACATCCAGCAGGTTGCTTGGCCTTATCAATTTGACCTTGTAAGGATGTCTGGACTCTGTGTTCCTTTCTCCTACCATACTACCCTTCCTCCTACTTCTATTATTCCTACTTCTCCTTGTCCATGTTTCACCTTCCCTGAAGAAGACCATCATAAAAACAACTTCTGTGGGGTCCTAAACAGGACTCAGGGCTTAGGTATCTATTGGTGGTCCCAGAGAAAGCTGGGACAAGATGCTACCCACACTGAGGAAGCACCCCGGGATCAGGAGGATGGTTTGGGCATCTGCTGAGAATGGAGAGTCCTTGAAGTGGTAGGATGGTCTCCTCCACCTTCCTGATGTGTCATCTGTCACCTACGCATTGTGCTAGGTGCTGGGAATTCAGAACTGAACTCAGTGCCTGCTGTTGTCATTAGCAGAACCAGGAGGATGAAGTAGAGTCTTCATCCTCTGGAATAATTGATGATCAAACCAAAGTACATAGCCAGCTGAGCACTAACAACAGGAGGAAATAACATCAAGTTATCCTCTCTTGTCTACTTATGATCATTAGAGCAGAACATCAGAGGTTCTGGAAGACCTGGCTCAGTGCTTTAACACACAAATATGCTTATGAATCAGTGAGCCCCCTGGGAATCATTAAAATCCAGGTTCTGATTTAGCAAGTCTGGAGCGGGGCCTAAGATTCTGTATTTCTAACAAAGTCCTAGGAGATGCTCAGGCCCATGTACCACCTGTTGTGGAGCAAAGAAAGACCTAGAGGAGGATGTGACAAGTCCACTGGCTCAGGGTGGAGTGATGGGGCAGGAATGCCCAAGCTAAGTGATGCTACCCTAGGCCTCTTCAGTGGGGTGGTCAGGCAGGTATGTGAATGCCAGACACTGTGGGTGGGGGTGGAGGTGAGGTGGTCTGGGAGCGTTACAGGTTGGTGTAGGCATATAAACAGTGACTTTGTGGAGAGGGCCAGTGGTGTGGTATAATGGTTACCAATGCTTACTTTGGAGCTGAAATATCTGGGTTTGAATCCCAGCTCTGCTATTTACCAGATGTTTGACCTTGGGCAAAGTTACTTAACCTCTCTATACCTCATACCACAGATTGTAAAAATACATGACTGGCTCCATGGATCGCTCAGAACAGAGTAAGTGAATGCTCAGGAAGTCGCTCACCATGAGCTCTGCTCCACCAAGGTAGGCTCAAGCAGGGCAGCTCTGCCTTCTGAGGGTCTGGTGATTCGCACATTAAGGGAATGGAGCTTTTCTGAGAAGGCTCCACGCCTGTGGCTGGCTGAGCTATATGATGTCAGGCCAGGAAGTGTCTTGGTTTCCTATGTGCATGGCTGTCATTTTTCTGGCTCCATTTTCTGGAAAGGCAGGAAACAGGACACGGATGTACCATCCATAGCTTCTGGCTGGTAGGAGCCCAGGCACACTGGGAGGGGAGACTTGTGCAGGAAGCGAGCAGGAAAAAGGCATAATTTATGGGATGCTAAAAGACCCCCAGAATCTCTAGCTGACTTTACCATGCCATGGAGCCTGCTGGGCCAGCAGCAAGAGCCAAAGGGATTGACTGCCATTAGGGCATTTTGGGGACTGGACACTATAGTGGACAAATTTACTTTTGAGTTTCTAGAGCAAATGGAGCTACAACTGTCCCCTTCAGCAACTATCTCTTTGCTAATCTTCTGCCTCCAGCATCACCCTTCTCCAGTGACTACATGGCCTCGTGGTGGTTAGAGACTTTCTAAAACAGAAAGTTAGCCATGTCCTTCCTTTGCTTAAAACCTAGCTCCAGGTTTCCTGTTATGTGGCATTGCTTATAAAGGCCTGCAAAGTTTGCTGTACCCTTTTCTCTTCTTTCCCTCATTCCTCCTTCTGGAAGCTCCCACTGATGGTTCAGGGTTCCTCGCAGTGCTACTCTCAGTTTCCCACATGCTGTTCCCTGCCTCCTCCCCTGACTGATCCTACTTGGCCACCGGATCTCCATGTAAGCACCGCTTTCCCCAATTCCCTGGGCCAGGTGTCGTGTGCTGTGCTGCGACTATCAGTCTGGTCTTTGCACTGGCCGTCGGCTCTGTGAAGAAGAGGAAGGACGCTGTCTGCTTAGCAGCTGGCATTTCTCCGACGCTACCTCTGGGGCAGAGCTGTTGTGAGAGTGTTCTCTCTGAGTGCTTTCTCCCTGAGATTCCAAGGGTTATGGGACCTTCCTTAGGGTCTTTGTGGGTGAGGGCTGGAGTTTCCATGCCTGCGTGGGAAAACCATGGCTCAGGGCTAAGACTCCTCCAAGATAGTGAAATCCAGGAATAGCTCCATGAATTGGTCACAGGATCAGCTTATCAGGGCCTTATGGGGCCAGGTACATAGGGTGATAGGTTTTAAGCCTAAGTCTCAGCCGAGGAAGCAAAGACAATAGCTTAATGAAAGACATCACAGCATATACAACGCTGCAAAGAGCTAAGATGAGCAATCTCCTTCTTTTTCTGATCTACCAAGATCTTCCAAGGCTCACACCAGAAGTCCTTGTGTTACCCAAGTGCCTCTTGGGCACAGATGGGACCATTCACCACCTGTTTACCTTTTTTTTGGTACCGGGGATCAAACTCAGGACCTTGCGCTTGCGATGCAGGTGGTAGAACCACTGAGCTAAATCCCCGGTCCCTATTTATCTGTTCTAAGAAGAAGCAGGTCAAGGTTTTCAACTGTGGCACACTGAGATCTCGCACAAATCATCAACTTTGCGAGGAGCCCCAGGACTTTAACAGAAGCCCCACCAAATTTCAGGGTTCTCGATGGGACAAGAAACAGGTAGTTCCAGAAGTGGGTGATGGAGAATAGCTTACATCCTTGGGGAGTCATTTTTCTTTGGTTAGGTCCAGAGGGAGGAGCTTTCTCTCTACCAGTACTGGAAACATCTCCATTATATGGCCTTGAATGGACAAACTTGGGAAAAGTAATGTCATACCCAGAGCAGAGGTGCTAGGACACAGACTTAGAGGCTTGGGGTTTGTGATCCACAAATGGGCTGCGGGTTCCATCTTGGATCTGAGGAGAAGAATGAAGCCGAATGACATTACATAACTGTCATAAATAGAAATGTGTGGCATAAAGGATCAAGAATTGTGGGCAGAGGGCTGGGTGTGCTCAGCATGCACGAGGGTTAGTGTTCCCTCTCTAGCACTGCCAAAAAAATGTGGGTTGGAATGGAAGCTAAATATGGTGACTTGAACAGGTAGCAGACATGATGGCCAAGTTACCACTGTAGTCCCAGGGTAAATCAGAGGTCATGCTAGGGGTCTGGGTGACCCAGCTCAGTGCTTGATCTGCACCTAGCCCTGGATTGACCCCTCTCCATCCTCTCTTCCACCAGGCGCCTAGATGCCAACCTCATCTCCCTGGTCCCGGAGAGGAGCTTTGAGGGACTGTCCTCCCTCCGCCACCTCTGGCTGGATGACAATGCACTCACCGAGATCCCTGTCAGGGCCCTCAACAACCTTCCTGCCCTGCAGGCCATGACCCTGGCCCTCAACCGCATCAGCCACATCCCTGACTTCGCCTTCCAGAACCTCACCAGCCTTGTGGTGCTGTGAGTGCTGCTCGGCCCCATCCCTGGCTGGGTCCTGCTTGGGGCTGGAGGCTGCACGTCTTCTCGCATTGGGTCAGAAGCCTGGCTAGCTTTGCTTGTCTCTGCGTGCTGCTGAATCTTCTGTCTCCATTTTTCCTTTGGAGGAGGATGAGGATAAACACCCTCTGTTGACCTCCATAGGATAATCATGAAGCCAGATGACATTTGATTTGTAGAAATACCCCAAGGGTCACCAAAGGGCCAAAATACTATAATCAGAAAGTAGGAAGCTCACTATTATTTTCTCACTATGCAAATGTAACAACCATATCATGCTAATTAGAATATAAATCAAGAATGTCTTAAATAATTTCCACCATCTTTACAGTCAAATGATATATTCATATGCCTTGGCACAGGGATAGGATAAATTTGCCTTGTCTCCCAGGCCTAGAGAAGCAGAGAAAAGCCATCACCTGTAATTAGACAGCAGAGCCCCGTCAGGGTAATTACTTGGGAGAAAGCATCCCTGGCAGGAATTGGGGACTGGGGTTAACTCTGCCTACCCACTGGGAACTTTACAGTGCAAATTAGCTTCCAGCTAATTGCTATGAATGATTGGTAAGTTCATAGGGTAATTACTAAGGGCTTGGAGGTCATGTGTAATTGCTCTGGGTTACACACTAGTTGTTGCAGGAACATGGCTCAGGAACATGTGTTAGCGACTCTGCTAAATAGGAACATTGCCTCCCCTGCTCTTGGGAATCTGCTGTGGTTTTCCAGGCCAGGGAACAGACAGTGCTTAGTTCCATTTGAGAGATGAAAAGGCAGGCACCGATTTGTTTGTCTAATTCTCTGTCCTGGGAGATCAGAGAACCAAGATGAATGTCCTCATAGAGCACTTTTGTCGGTCAGGACATTCTTCTGGGGGTCAGCACGCTGTCTGTGGAAGGTCAACAGAACAAGGTGGTGAGCTCTAGCTGTGGGATATCACTGTGACGCCATGAGGGAATGGGGTCAGTTCTCTGTGAGGGACAAGACTGGAAAGATGAGAACTTCATGATGGGTCCCAGACACACGGGCGGGAGCAGCACTTAGCCCTACACAAGCACTGAAGGTCACAGAGGGATGGGACGGAGCTGCTGCCCTTGATGGGTTTATCGTCTAGCTGAAGAATCCAAGCAAAATGGCTAAAGTTTACTCAGTGTGTTGTATAACTTACGTTAACATGACCAGGTGAAAGGAGGGGCCGGGGATTTAGCTCAGGGGTTCGCAGCGTGCCTTGCAAGTGCAAGGACCTGAGTTCAGACCCAGTACCAACAAAAAA